GTTCATTGTAGAGGATTACTGTTCCCCCAAGTTTCCTACTACATTTTCCCCGTTCATGAACCCGACGGCTATGCCATGCTGATGAGCCCCAATGAGGGCAAAACTGCTGTCCATGGCTGTCACTGCCCGGGTGATATGGCTGTGCTCATGCGTGAGGTACTAGCCAGGCCGTGGGTTGGTGAATGTGTGCCCCTTGCTTTAAGTTTGTCTTAACTGGCGGTCTGTTTGATTTTTTTTTTTTTTTTTTGCAAAGTAAACCGGATCGAAGGTTATAGATGAATGAGCTACAAATTGTAGTAGCTGAGCGGTGGTAACCACAGTCTTTTTAAGCGCGACCGCCAAGAAAAATTGAGCAAATTCTCAATTTTTTATTAAAAGTTAGAGAAAATGTATAACAAGGAAATTCAGTTTTCTCCCTTTGGAGTGTAAACTGCAGATTAATTTTGGGACGGATCACTCAGTCTTGAAGGACTTATGCCGGGGGAAGCTCGAATAAAAAAGCGACGTAGAAGCTCGTCGGAAAATTAAAATTAAAACCCAGCGTGGGTCAGGGGACCATAAAAGACTATTATCAGACCATTAATGATTATTATTGGCCGGGATGTCATGTGCTTTTTTAAAAAATAATTGCATTTTAATTTGTGTACTAATAATAGACACGAAAAACATGACTACAACAACAAATTTTGACAGCGCGCGCGTTTTTAGTTCATTCAACTGACTGGCTGAAACAGACCACTACCTTTGTCAAATTCAAACTTTTTCAAAATCATTCAGCTAAGAACCTGGAAATGTGTGAGGATTGATCTATTGATTTCACACCAGCCTGTTAAAGATAACTCGGTTTACAATAATCAGCAAAACTAAGGGTTTATAGAATCATCCTCGATTATAACGGCGTTTGCAAAAGATTCCCGCTTTTAAAGATTCCCCGTTTTAAAGATTTCCCATTTTAAAGATTCCCTGTTTTAAAGATTCCCGCTTTTAAAGATTCCCCGTTTTAAAGATTCCCGCTTTTAAAGATTCCCCATTTTAAAAATTCCCTGTTTTAAAGATTCGCCGTTTTAAAGATTCTCGCTCTTAAAGATTACCCGTTTTAAAGATTCCCGCTTTTAAAGATTCCCCGTTTTAAAGATTCTCGCTCTTAAAGATTCCCCGTTTTAAAGATTCCCGCTTTTATAGATTCTAAAGATTCCCACTTTTAAAGATTCCCCATTTTAAAGATTCTCGCTCTTAAAGATTCCCTGTTTTAAAGATTCCCGCTTTTTAAGATTCCCCGTTTTAAGGATTCTCGCTCTTAAAGATTCCCCGTTTTAAAGTTTCCTGCTTTTAAAGATTCCCCATTTTAAAGATTCCCGCTTTTAAAGATTTCCCGTTTTAAAGTTTCTCGCTCTTAAAGATTCCCCGTTTTAAAGATTCCCGCTTTTAAAGATTCCCCATTTTAAAGATTCCTTGTTTTAAAGATTCCCGCTTTTAAAGATTCCCCATTTTAAAGATTCCCGCTTTTAAAGATTCTTCATTTTAAAGATTCCCGCTTTTAAAGATTCCCCGTTTTAAAGATTCGCGCTTTTAAAGATTCCCGCTTTTAAAGATTCCCCGTTTTAAAGATTCCCGCTTTTAAAGATTCCCCGTTTTAAAGATTCTCGCTTTTAAAAATTCCCCGTTTTAAAGATTCTCGCCTTTAAAGAGTCCCCGTTTTAAAGATTCCCTGTTTTAAAGATTCCCGCTTTTAAAGATTCGCCGTTTTAAAGATTCCCGCTTTTAAAGATTCCCCGTTTTAAAGATTCCCCGTTTTAAAGATTCTCGCCTTTAAAGAGTCCCCGTTTTAAAGATTCCCGCCCTGTTTTAAAGATTCCCGCTTTTAAAGATTCCCCGTTTTAAAGATTCTCGCTCTTAGAGATTCCCCGTTTTAAAGTTTGCCGCTTTTAAAGATTCCCCATTTTTAAGATTCCCGCTTTTAAAGATTCCCCGTTTTAAAGTTTCTCGCTCTTAAAGATTCCCCGTTTTAAAGATTCCCGCTTTTAAAGATTCCCCGTTTTAAAGATTCCCCGTTTTAAAGATTCCCGCTTTTAAAGATTCCCCATTTTAAAGATTCCCGCTTTTAAAGATTCCCCGTTTTAAAGATTCGCGCTTTTAAAGATTCCCCATTTTAAAGATTCCCGCTTTTAAAGATTCCCCGTTTTAAAGATTCCCGCTTTTAAAGATTCCCCATTTTAAAGATTCCCGCTTTTAAAGATTCTTCATTTTAAAGATTCCCGCTTTGAAAGATTCCCCGTTTTAAAGATTCCCGCTTTTAAAGATTCCCCGTTTTAAAGATTCTCGCTTTTAAAGATTCCCCGTTTTAAATATTCTCGCCTTTAAAGATTCGCCGTTTTAAAGATTCCCGCTTTTAAAGATTCCCCATTTTAAAGATTCCCTGTTTTAAAGATTCTCCATTTTTAAAAAGATTCCCGCTTTTAGAGATTCTCCATTTTAAAGATTCCCCGTTCCCCGTTCCCCGTTCCCCGTTCCCCGTTGCTTTTCCCCCATTCCTCGTTCCTTGTTTTAAAGATAGCCGGCTTAAACAGAGGTAAAAGAAAACCAATTAATGGTAAACTGCATTCTGTGATCAAATCATATCAGAAAACATCTACAGGAAACATAATAAATAGATTTTAGCCAGGGCTAAAAGCGAAGCTCTCGATAATATTTATAGTTTGCTCAAAGTAAATGTAAAATCGTGTAATGCTAAGCGGCGAAGACAATGAGAACCGTGAAAAGCAACAATAGGTCTAATTAGCAAAAAAACAACTTTGCACGTGTGGCATACTTTTTTTTTGGTACATTGCTGTGCCGTTGTTTTGCACGACTACAACGTGAATCGTCTAGAAACTTCCTGGTTACGCTTTTTATGGACGAAATGTCGTACATGTTCTTGTTCACTTTTTTTTTCACTGCCGCTTATTTTTTCCTTGGTGCTACAACTGTTAGTCTTCTAACAAAAAAATGGCTCCTTATCTCTCGCTCTAGCTCTCCGTCGCTCAATTTCCGCTTTCCGTTTTCCTCTTCATTGACTCTGTAGTTGTCTCTGCTTCACAAGACGAGGTTCCCGGCAAAATGACCTCGAGTTGCATTTGGATTGCCATACCTGCTGATTCAGTTATTTTGTATTGGTATGTCTATGGTGCGGACGGGCGGACGGGCGTACGGTCACGTGATTACCAAAATTTCTCGGATTACCACATTTTCTTAGGTATGGGGTACGATCGCTTCGAGCTCCGATATAAAACCACATGAACTGATTAGTACTCCATATGCATGGAACAGACCAGCTTCATAACCTTTAAATGTGAGACTCACAGCGACAAAAATAAGATTTGCTCAGTTAAAGTTAAGAATACTCCATGCACTGCATAATCTACGCTAAAGAGAGAACGCAGCAAGAAAGATCTCTGTTGTTCAAGCTGACCCTAAGGTCACGTTTCACACTATCACAAGCTGATTCTCTCTTGTCATGTCACGAGCTATGAGTCGTGTTTGGCCTGTCAACACTTATTTGAAATCGGACTAATCACAAACTGCGTAAGAAACTAGCCAACCAAAAACGCCGACATATGTCCTTGCGACTCTGCGGGATGCGAACACAATATTGTGCATAATATAACCACATTACAACATGACAAGAGTCATCACAGGCAGCCCAAGCTCAGTGTGTGTTAACACATGCAGTTTCATATTGCGTAATTTAAAATGGCCGTGAATATAAAGGATCTGTATGGGAATTCAGGTAAAAGATTCAAATCGATAAATACTCGCTAGAATGTTCAATAAAATACAGCTTACCGTATTTACTTTGCTTGTTTTTGTTTGCTGTGTGGTTATTTTTCCGATCCATTGCGATTTAAGCGATTTCCTTTAACCCCGAGTTTCCAAATCGCAATGGATCGGAAAAATAACCACACAGCAAACAAAAACAAGCAAAGTAGATACGGTAAGCTGTATTTTATTGAACATTCTAGCGAGTATTTATCGATATTTGAATCTTTTACCTGAATTCCCATACAAATCCTTTATATTCACGGCCATTTTAAATTACGCAATATGAAACTGCATGTGTTAACGATTAAACTCACACACTGAGCTTGGGCTGCCTGTGGAGTCATGGCTTTCCATACGCATGATTAGGAGACAGAATGAGGAAGTATTACTAGCTAGTCAGCCATGAGGAAAGGTATCTGGCAGCTTTGTGCTGCTCATTGTTTTTGCTTGAGAACTGACTACGATCAGCAATCTTCAACCACCAACAGCGGGGAAATATGTCGTACAACAAGATCGATAACACGCGCTCAGGGAAATGCTAACGAAATACCGATGGATGATGAGAAAACTGAAATATCTAAGGCCAACGAAACTGTCGTTCGACACAGTACGACCGCCGATGGATTGAACATAAAGTTTATCTCTCTCGCCAGCCACAAAATGGTTCCATCCAAGTTCAAAGATTGTTTTAAGAAAGGCCCAGAGCAGGCTAAACAGTTAGCCACAGAGTATGCAGCGAAAAAGGCTTTCTCCATCATCGCAGGCGGCAGAAATAAGCGCGACACAAGTGCTCCATCGCCCACAAATATTGTTTCCGCATTGGGTTCAGGTGAGGAAGTTTATTCAGCCGGTGCTGACTGTGGTATGTTTGCGGCCGTTTTCACTGCCTATTCTCATCACTACAGGCTTAGGACATCGCCAGATGATTGGTGGTTCTGTGTTATCAAGAGGGTTGCTTGTGCAATCGATCGAAACTCTTCGAAAGCCTCCGTGCGCAACATGTTTGTCGATCATGAAGGAAAAAAACAATCGAAGTACAGGTTAACGATCCCACTATCTACACCGTGGATTACAACTTCCTGTTCGATCAAATAACAAAGCAGTTAAAAGAAAACTTAAAAGTGCCCAAGTTTGTTGATGGAGTGACCGCAGATTTTGGAACCACCTCAGCTGTACAGAAGATCGTCTCGCAGATTACGCTGATGTATTCTGTTAATCAATATTTCGACTTCGAAATGATGTGCGGATGTGGAATACCAGCGATGGAGATGCTTGGCAGTGAAGAAGACTGGATGAAATTGAGTTCTCAGCTGAAAGTTTTAAGAACACTCTTAGAACACATAGAGAACGACCTCGGCATTTCTTCGAAATGGTGGGATCTAGTTCAGAAAGTGTTCTGGAATCTGCAAGCCACTTATCGGGGAAACCCAGATGAAGAATGGTGGAGTCATATTATGAGCTATCAAGAGGAATATGCTTCAGGTATGTACGCTACTAGAAATACGTACATCGCAGGACCTCGCGAAGGACTTCGGGGGAATTGACGGCAAGATAAGGCAATAGAAAAGAAAATTTATAGATCTAAAAATTTTAAGCTATATAAGGAAAGGAAACAAAAAAAATGCAATAACTAAAAGAAAGCTATACGAAAAGAAAAAGAAAAAAAAGAAAAGGGGTGAAGAGAAAACCTTGGGACCTTCGACGCGCCGGGCCATATCGTTACCACTAGGCCACGTGAAACACAGAAAATATTTTATTAAAACCCTTTCCCCTGGGACCGTCGATAAAACCAGGAACACGGAACATTCCGGAACATGAAAAAATAAAAATAATTTTCATGAAAAAAAAATAATAATAAAATGATTTCTAAAAAAATTAATAATAACGTAAAATAACCACAAAAAAAGTCGAAAAATAAAGAAATAAAGAAAAAGAAACTCGTACAATCCCTAGTATGAGAAAACAATATTTTGTCGCAAATAATTTGTTGGGCGAGTGTGCAGGGCCCATGCAAATGACAGTAATTAGTGAAGGCTTGCTTCTAAATTCAAACTATATTATAATGGGTCGCGAGGAGGAGGGTTTTCAAGCTTTCCTCACCCAGCCACATCTTGTATTGTTTGCCATGTGGTTTAACGGTTATCCATTTAAGCTATTTGATAGTCTTAACTATCAAATTTATACGTCGCAGAAGGTCTTCAATAAAAATTCATTATTACTCTGCAAGCGAAACCTAGAGCAAGGAAACAACTTTTTGCGAGAAACCACGTTTATTGTGAAGAGTTCGTATGATGCAATCAGCGCGAGTAGGCTACCTAAAGCTCTTTTATTTGAGATTGTAAGTCAGGTTTGACAAAGCATTTCCCAGTTTTTTACTTTATCTGATTTAGGGAGTGCATATTCTCGAAATTAAGGAAACAAAAATAATTTAATTTTGTTTTGTTTCTAAGGAATGTTTCCCACTGGCAAAAGTTTTATCAGAGGATGGATCACAGATTTCTTGGAGGGACCGCCATATGTAAGGCGGGACCTGTGGGGCCCTGGTGACTTTACAAGTGGCTTAGTGGCCGTTCCTTTCACTATCAAAGATCCCTGTGGTGTCCAGGATACCGCGGCATTAGTGGCAGGAATGCTGGGTTTCACTGTTCACAGGATACCCAACTCTGATGAGGTGTCTGTACAACCATTCCAAGGATGGTCTCTTATGCTGTCTGACGACTCGCCTTTTTGCAAATTCTGAACAAACCGTTGATATTGGCTTTATAAATTAGTTTAGTATTCCTACTTAACTGCAAGGAAAGTAAAGAAAATGTTTCAGTACTGCAAATTTATTAGAATGTTTTTTATGCAAATGTGGGCTGGGCTAAAAAACGTACAAGCAAAAATTTCACCCATTTGACTGAAAGCGCAGGCCAAAATGCAGGTTTCTTGAGGACAAAAATTCCCAAAAACACACTTTAGAAGAAAGAGGAAAAGAACGAGAAAAAAATGAAAAAGAAAAAAGCATAGTTCTTTCAGTCTTCGTTTTCTTATATTGCCTATACTTTGGAGATGGTACTGACTCGTTTTCTCTACAATTGCGGCCTGGGGATCATTTAAGGTACTGTACAGCACTCAAGAAGTAGAATTAAACACTCGACTACGTCTCGCGTTTTTTCCCCTGTACTTTACTCGTGCTCTAGATCAGCGGCTTCTTGCGTGCTTTACAACAGAACAGAGCACAGTCAAGACTTCTTTATTGGCTAATCTTCTTTCGTTACTCACAACATTCGGAATAAACGAGCCATTAGTGCTTATGTTAACGTTAGTAGCTTTTCACCACAGAGATTAAGTCATAGTACAATTGGGGTATTACAATGCTGGTCGTAAATTACAGCTGGTAGCTTACGACAGCCAGGGTCTGTATATCATTGTTTTAAAAACTAGAATAAAGCTTCTTAGACGCTTGTCTGGTATCCTTGATACATGGTCACTATAGATCACTCGGAGGGCACAGTTCTGGGTTTGCTATACTGAAAGGAATAGTCCACACAAACGACTGACCAGGATCAAATCTCAGGAAATAATAGAAGTAATCGTGAAAACTGGCTTGATTTTTGAAGAAACTCTCCTCCATAAAGTCATAGTATTAATTTGACACAGTCTATTAGGGTGAAAGTTTGAGAGAGGGGATTCTTACTAATGGAGATAACCATTATCTGACAATCGTGACAGGAATTTAGAATGCAATTTCCTTTCCCTCCACCTTGCTTACTTACTAGGCCTCATTATTCCGTGCGGCCAAAGCGTTTCGGGTCACGTGGTCCAAACCTCCCCGCCCCCGTTCACCTCGGATATGTCACCGAAGTGAATTGACCGAGAGGGACTGGGAAAACGCCGTACAGGGACTCCACCCTTGATTTCAACCTTGCCCCGGCCTGCCTCGAACTCATGCACGCACATGCACCCCCAGCTAAAAAACAAAACAAAACATGCTGAGCATGTGGTTTAAGGTCGGAACGCAAGGCAAGAAGTCGCAGCAATACGTCATGGTGACAGCTAGTTCACTCCGTTGTCTACAAGTTTGGTGACTAGTTGGAGAATTTTTGGGGAAATCTTTGTCTCTGCAACAGAATTTTGTCGCTGCAACAAGTTTCAAAAAATCAAATCAGACCGAATTTGTGTGACTTGTTGCAGTGACAAAATTATGTTGCAGAGATAAAGATTTTCACAAAAATTCTCCATTACACACGAGGCAATATATCACGTGTACCGACCTTTGAGGTCAGTACATTCTATGCAAATGGCCGTAGCAGGCCTTTAGAAACTAGGGGGGCACAAATATTTTAGGTAGCTCATTGTACTTGAAAAGCAGGAGGGTCTTGGGTCCGGTAGCCTCCCAGGCAGACGTTCGTCGGGGGTTCGATCGTCACCCCTTTTTGCCCCACAAACGTACGTCTGCTGAATCGAGTGGTAGACTCGGCTCCAGAAAAGATCAGAAAGGTGAAGACCTTGATTAGAATAAACTAATCATTTAATTCACACCCCTTCGTACCAGACTAACAGGCCAGAGCGCCGATTTTAAGTACTAGGCGACTTTGAAAGACGCGTGCTTCACATATTTGTGGCGGATTAGAATGCCGGCTTGGTCAGAGGCCCTTTGTTTAAAACATGGCGGGATACTCGCAGCTTAAGGCAAGCATGTGCCTTGTAGCTGTCAACATAATGCTTTTTAATTACATTCTGTCATAATTAACAAAACCCGATCCATGTTTGATTGAAAGTAATTGTACAAATCTGGTACCAGACAAACCGCTTTTAAAAAACAAAAACACAAAAGTAGTTTATGGTTATTTCTCATTAATTTCACTTGATCAAAACAAATATTTACTTTTATCAGTTTTCCCGTTTCTTTCAAAACATCCTTCATGTCCGGGCGTTTCACCGTAGTCAATGAAAGATGCGTTTTATCGGTCTTCTTTTTCGCGGGAATATCAAAATTTCCATCTTTCAAAACGCGATGAACCAAAGCTCGCAGGATACCAAAGCGCCGAAGGCGCACGATGCAGTCCCCGTGTTTTGTGAGCATCCGTTAAAAATATTGAACGCCAAAACTATCAAGTTTTGGTACAGCGAGAGGCAGCCAGTTTCTGTACCCAAAGGTTAGTGCATGGACAGGCTATCGAAAGAAAATAAAAGGGATGGTTGCCCAATGGATAGCAGGCCTAACTACGCAAAATAAATGTCTCATTGCATCCTTGTCTGCGAGGTTAGTACTAAATTTACACTCTAGAATACATTACAGAACTCAATCAGCAACACTTTGCAAGTAGAATTGGTGATCAGTGTGGGCAATTTATATTTCTAAGGGACGTCCGTCGCACAAAGGCTTAACGCGCGGGGGTTTTTAGTCAATGACTGACATAACAGTTTCCTCACAATCGACCCAGTTAGAATGCGATAATGTGCGCGTGAACTTTGCCTACAACTGGCAATAAGCTGAATAAACCGGAAGCTGAACACCATGAATAAGTTACCTAATTACATCGCAGGTCCTTTTCCTTTTTTTTCAACTACCGGAGGGGTTTTTCGTGCATTCTGTTGCGCAGTTTGGTAGTGATATTCCTGCAATGGTTTTAGTACTGGTCCCGTTGCCGAAACCTTGCACCAGCAAGATACGGTAATCGAGAGTCGAGAATCGAGAATCGATATTGTACTCAGGACAAGAAAAGGTCGCCGTCCAAGGAACAACTGATGAAAAGCAAGAGCTTCAAGCTGCTGAGAATCGCCAATTCTGGATTACAAGCAGTGAAGGAACTCCTGAGAAGCGTCCAAATTATAAAGGAACTTTGGAGGCAAGTCAGCCACGGTGATTGTCGCACCACGCATAAAGTAGAATAAATTTGTTAGCCTGGTCTTGTCTTTGCCACAAATCACTTAAAACTATAAAGAAGGTACCACTATGAACTCTGGAAAATGAAAATTCAATAATACTACGGTTGACGACTGACAGTTTAAAAGAGAGACAACCTTCACCTCAGAATCTTGGGCGCGCCGCCTGTAAGCTCTGAGGGAGAGGGAAGCCCCTTAACTTGGCCTATTTCAGAAACAAATGACAATGCAAAAATAACCTACAATAATAATTTGGATAAATGACCGACATTTTAAAAGAGAGACTGCCATCACCTCAGAATCTTGGGCGCGCCGCCTGTAAGCTCTGAGGGAGAGGGTAGCCCCATAATTTGGCCTATTTCAAAAACAAATGACACTACAAAAATAACCTACAATAATAATTTGGATAAAGGACCAACATTTTAAAAGAGAGACTACCATCACCTCAGAATCTTGGGCGCGCCGCCTGTAAGCTCTGAGGGAGAGGGTAGCCCCACAATTAATTTGGCCTATTTAAAAAACAAATGACACTACAAAAATAACCTACAATAATAATTTGGATAATGACCGACATTTCGAAAGAGAGACTACCATCACCTCAGAAACTTGGGCGCGCCGCCTGTAAGCTCTGAGGGAGAGGGTAGCCCCATATTTTGGCCTATTTCAAAACAAATGACAGTACAAAGAAGAACTAAAATAATAATTTGAATAATGACCGACATTTCAAAAGAGAGACTACCATCACCTCAGAATCTTGGGCGCGCCGCCTGTAAGCTCCGAGGGAGAGGGTAGCTCCATAATTTGGCCTATTTCAAAAACAAATGACAGTACAAAAACAACCTACAAAAATAATTTGTATTATGACCGACATTTTAAAAGAAAGACTACCTTCACCTCTGAATCTTGGGCGCGCCGCCTGTAAGCTCTGAGGGAGAGGGTAGCCCTATAATTTGGCCTATGACACTACAAAAATCACCTACAAAAATTGTTTGGATTATGACCGACATTTCAAAAGAGAGACTACCTTCACCTCAGAATCTTGGGCGCGCCGCCTGTAAGCTCCGAGGAGAGGGTAGCTCCATAATTTGGCCTATTTCAAAAACAAATGACAGTACAAAAACAACCTACAAAAATAATTTGTATTATGACCGACATTTTAAAAGAAAGGCTACCTTCACCTCTGAATCTTGGGCGCGCCGCCTGTAAGCTCTGAGGGAGAGGGTAGCCCTATAATTTGGCCTATGACACTACAAAAATCACCTACAAAAATTGTTTGGATTATGACCGACATTTCAAAAGAGAGACTACCTTCACCTCAGAATCTTGGGCGCGCCGCCTGTAAGCTCTGAGGGAGAGGGTAGCCCTATAATGTGGCCTATTAATTAAGTAAAAAGCAAGTAACAATACAAAGGTAACCTGAAATAATAATTTTTGGATTATGATTGACATTTCAAGGAGGCTAAAATGACTGATATAGAAACCATACTGTATCTGTGACGTTGATTATACAGATCGCCCACGCGAACACGAAGATGTTGAAGTGGAAGCTAGAATATCTGGAGTAATCCAGCGAATAAGATTTTGGCGGGATTTCGACAGTGCTTGGCGGGCTTTTGGGAGAGTGATTTGTCACTGGAGGCACATCGACGCTTACATCGTCTTAAGCCAGAGAAAAATGACTTGAATCCTTCGCCGTTTGATCAAAAAGGTCGTCCATTGAATCAGATAATCGGTCTTGCTGTTCCTCAAGAGGATGTGAAGTAGAGCTCGAGCTCTCGCCTTCGTTTTCTCCGGCGACTACAAAATGTGCATTGTTGACGGCTTTTCTCAAACTTTCAAATAGAGAAGATTTAAAAATTTCTTTGGTCA